GAGAGAGAGAGAGAGAGAGAGAGAGAGAGAGAGAGAGAGAGAGAGATTTTAAATTTAATGAGATTTAAATAACACCACAACTAATAAAATCATTAATGCCAGTAAACATTTGTACTAATAAGTGCTAATAAGTGGTGGCAGCAGTCTCTCTGCATCCAAATGGTCAACTACCACCATAGTCTGGGTCCTTTGCCAGTTTACATGAGTCACTGCTGCAGGTATCTGAAGAAGCGAGCAGTGATTCACGAAAGCTCCTTCCCTGCCACCAATTTTGCTAGTCTCTAAGGTGCTCCTGGACTCTTGCTCTTTTCTACTGTGAGTGTGGAGAGGCAGCTAGAAAGCAGGCCGTTGGTTTGGAGTGCGAAGATGGCTAGGGAAACCACCCAGTCTTGTGCCGGTTGGTGGCCATGTGCAGATGGCCCACCTGCTGCAGGGGGAAGCCCAACTCAGCCGTAGTAAAAGTAAAGGTCTCCCTTGCTCGAAAGCCAGTCGAGTCCGACTCTAGGGTTGCGGTGCTCATCTCCGTTTCAAAGCCGAAGAGCCAGCGCTGTCCGAAGACGTTTCTGTGGTCATGTGGCCGGCATGACTAAACACCAAGGTGCACGGAACGCTGTTCCCTTCCCACCGAAGTGGTACCTATTTATCTACTTGCAATTTCTTGCTTTTGAACTGCTAGGTTGGCAGGAGCTGGAACTAGAGACGGGAGCTCACTCCGTCATGCGGCACACCCGGGTCTTGAACTCCTGAATGACCGACCTTCCACAGCCTGCAGTTCAGCGGCTTAACCACTTGAGCCACCGCAGCTCCTCACTGAATTTGGTACCCGATGCCAAATTCAGCGTTCTGTCACAGTCTCCGGTTTCCTTAAGGAATTAGAGACTGGGATTTTCTAGTTGTCCTTTTAGCGACAAGAAGAGGGAGGTGCCCCGTTTTTCAGGCTGCATTCCTCGGTTTCCTGTGTTTTTCTTTTTAAAATGCCAAACAGAGTCGGCAATGTAAAAATCTAATTGAGTAAATAGAATTAACTAGGGCACTTTGTACTTCACAGGGCTAGGCGCTCTTTGGCGTGGCAAGGTATAATCCCATTCAGCAAATAGTTTTTTGGGGGGACCTGATTTTATAAGTCAGAGAGATAATGTACCAACCCCTCATCCGACCTTCTGCCCGTTATCAGTACAAATTCTACATATCTGTCCCCTTCTTTCCCCTCTGGGTCTGGAAATTTAAGGGCCAGATGGTTTCCTTCAAGGCTCAGCTACCTGTGCCATCGGGAGAGCGATTTAGCTTAACCCTCAGTTGGCCAGATTTGGCCCAAGAGCCACCAATGCTGACTCCTGTCGCGTGGCAACTCCTCTATAAATGCCACCTGTGATTCATGCGTGTTGAACTCAGCGCAGATTAATCCATTACAACCAGGGTTCCCCAACCTTTTTAAGCCCGTGGGCACCTTTGGAATTCTGACTCCGCATGGTGGGCGCAGCCACAAAAATGGCTTCCATAAAATGGCTGCCGCAGGAGATGGGGCCAGCTACAAAATGGCTGCCACAGGAGGTGGGGCCAGCCACAAAATGGCTGCCACAGGAGGGGAGCCAGTCACAAAATAACCGCCACAGCTTCCCTTCAGTCACACAGTGAAGACGCTTGTGCTGTGGGGGCAGCTGCTGCCAAAGCAACGTTTTTAGAAATCAGCACAGCCAATGAAATTTCCAGTGGCCAATCAGAAGCCTCGCTGGGCGCCATGTTGGGGACTCCTGTGGTGTCTTGACCCCCCCCCTCACGAGATCCCCTGAGATGGTTTCCAAACTACGTCCGTTACAAACCCTGCTTTTTTCTCTCCTTTCCCACCCGTAGTCTTTCCTGTACCTCTTCTGGTACATGGTGATGTCCCTCCTCGGCCACTACAACAACTTCTTCTTTGCCTCCCATCTTCTGGACATTGCCATGGGCGTCAAGACCTTGCGGACCATCCTTTCATCCGTCACCCACAATGGCAAACAGGTAAGGCGCAAAGGCAGGTGGACGTGTGTTTGGAGTACAGTACATAAGGTCCTACAGGGCTCTTTTTGTAGAAAAAGCCCAGCAGGAACTCGTTAGCATAATAGGCCACACCCAACAGCAGGAACTCATTAGCATATTGGGCCACACCCCTGACAGCACAGCTCATTAGCACATTAGGCCGCACCCCCATGTTACCAGAAGTGTGGTCATCCAGCCACACCCACCTTTCCCTTCTTATTCTGTTTACCTTGTTTGTTGTCAAAACCAGGGCTCTTTTTGCAGCAGGAACTCCTTTGCATGTTAGGCCACACTCCCCTACTGTAGCCAATCCTAATGAGTTTCTGCTGTTGGGTGTGGCCTATTATGCTAATGAGTTCCTGCTGGGCGTGGCCAACTCGGGAGCCAGCCGGAACTCCGTTCCTGTGCGTTCCTGCCCCAAAATAGCCCTGCATAAGGAGTAGCGTTACCCTCATTGAGAAGGGATTTGCCTGCCCTCCCGTGGTTCCTGTATGCCAGGGGCCGCCAACCTTCTTCAGCCTGTGGGCACCTTTGGAATGCTGACGCAGCATGGTGGGCACAGCCATAAAATGGGGACTTCTGCTGGATGCTCTCTCACCCCTCCCCTGCACACGGCCTCTTTCCCCAGCTGATGATGACGGTGGGGCTGCTCGCGGTGGTCGTGTACCTCTACACCGTCGTCGCCTTCAACTTCTTCCGCAAGTTCTACAACAAGAGCGAAGACGAGGACGAGCCGGACATGAAGTGCGACGACATGATGACGGTGAGTCGGGAGAGCCGCGGGGACGGGGCGGGGACGGGTGGCCAACTTCAAGAAAGCTGAAAACAATTTGAGGGACGCAGCGGGTCGTCCAGGAGAGCCGCAGAAGGAACCTTGAGCATCTTACGTCAGGGGGAGTCTCCTTCTGCCGGAATACCTCCACTCCCCAAACAGGTCCTATGGAATCTGATATCCAAGGGTGTACTGCCTCTAAATGCGGACATTCCACTCGTCTAAGAATCCTTGCTAGAGCAATTGTCCATGAATAAATTCTTTTACTCTTGTCGATGCTTTAAAGCAGGCGTGTCAAACTCATTTGTTACAAGACCTAAATGAGACCTGGTTGGGCCAGGCCACGCGTGTCATAAAATGTAATGCCTGGTAGCGGAGATATAAACTTTAAAAAGGACACAAACACAAAGGTTTTTGGGTTTTTTGCTTTAAAAAACATGCTTAAAACATCAGCACTCTTGCAATATTTTGCTTATTTAACAGTGCCTGATAACTGACACCTCTTGCTCTGGATTATTGCATTAAAATGTCTGTGCCGTTGCAATCTGGAGTGTGCTGTTCAGATGTGTATCTGTCAGCTGCAAACCTACGATGAGGCAGCAGCATCAGAACTGGAAGAAGAAGCAGAAGGCAGCCAGTTCCAGTGCGGGCCTGATGGAAGCCCTCCGGGGGCCTCATCTGGCCCCCGGGCCGCACGTTTGACACCCCTGCTTTAAAGGCTTACGGGAAGAATGGAGATTTGAATCCACTATAGTGGTCTCAAGTACAGACCCAGGGAATCGTTTGTCTTGTGCACGTGATATCCCACCAGTCCCTCTCTGACGCCCTGCCCTCTCTTTCCGACACAGTGCTACCTGTTCCACATGTACGTGGGGGTGCGTGCTGGCGGGGGTATCGGTGACGAGATCGAGGACCCGGCGGGAGACGAGTACGAGCTGTACCGTGTCATCTTCGACATCACCTTCTTCTTCTTCGTCATTGTCATCCTGCTGGCCATCATCCAGGGTGAGCCGCACAGGCCCGTCTCTGTGCACAAAAGTTGGTTTTGTCGGGCACTGCGGCGGGCCACCATGCAAGATTCCACCCGGGCTGTGTCTCCCACCTCCCCCCGTCCCATTGTTGGAGTTGCACCCAGGACTGATTTCCATGTTGAAAGCAATACAAAGAGAGAATTGCAGGAAAGAAGTACAAAGACACCGTGATTGAATTGTATGAACAGACTCAGATGCAACTCTTAAAGATATCTTAAAAGTTCAATTCACAAAGCACAACAATAAACCGTACGTGCAGTAAGAAATACAATGTCTATTGCATCATTAGTTTCAAAACCTGCAGTACCAAACCTCAATCAGATAAGAGACCATGCGCAAAACTTCAAAAGTCTTCAGTGAAGTGCTTTATGAATAACGGTCGCCTTGTTCTTCGAATTGATGTGGCTTCAGATATTTCTTAAAAGATTTAAAGCGCATGGATATCTTCAAATGCTTCCTTAGAGATTTCTGCAGGTTTTGAAACTAGTGACACAGTATGCATTGTATTTCTTACCGCACGTATGGTTTATTGTTGTGCTTTGTGAATGGGACTTTTAAGATACCTTTAAGAGTTACATTTGAGTCTGTTGGTAAAATTCAGTCACGGTGTCTTGGTACTGTTTTTGACTGATTTCCATGTTGTGCAGCTGCAAGAAGTGGCAGAGTCCCGTCCTATGGTGGTTGAATGGACTGCGCCACTTCATATGGCATGGGGGAATCAGCGTTCTTTTGAGTTTACAGGCAGCCCCAGAAAACTTTCATAGGAGGGAGAAGACGACAGGGCTAGAAGTCCCGCCCCCCCAGATATGCTTGGGTATTTTTAAGAGTTGGGACAATTATTTTAGGAGGGGAGCACCAAAAAGAAATCCGTCTAACCCACCAACTCATGATTCCAGACTCCTCATAGTGACGAGTGTGCAGATTAAGACCTGAGTTGAGGGTTAAGGAGGCCAAACTAGTCCTGGGGCTCTTCCGCATTCTCAGTTTTGTCTCTTGTGTGTCCCTATTGCTTCGGGGGGGGGGGTTATTTTCCACATGTGTTTTGCTCCCTCTAGTGGATGATTTGATATTACATCACTGTATGTCTGGCATATCTCCCTGCAATAAACCGCAGGTTTTTATGCCAGACATACGGTGATGTAATATCGAATCGACCACTAGAGGGAGAAAAATACTTGCAGAAATGGGGGGGGAACCCCAAAGCAATAGGGACACACAAGGGACAAAAAAAGAGAATGCAGAAGAGCCCATGATGCGGGATATTGGAGACTAGCGGAAAGAATGTGTGTGGCTTTTCCCACATAGGGCAAATAGCAATTTGGAGGCGGGGCAGGCATTAGATCAGAAAAGGATTTTAAAAAATGTCTTCTTGTGGCACCACATCACTATCTGAATCCTCCTACCTGCCCATCTTTCCAAATTTGCATTGAGGAGACCCTGGCTGTGGATTACTCACTTCACAAGTCTTTTGAGCCCCAGTGTGAGGTCAAATCTCAAGGACTCCTGGCGGGACTGAAAATGAGAGGGGACTTACTGGAGCCAGAACTTATGACTCAGGGCCAAAGTAATGCTTTCAGGACACGAGAAGCGTCATGGAGTGCCTCTGAGCGTGCACAGAGAGCCCTTACCACCCTTGTGCACCAGAGAGCCAGTTTGGTGTAGTGGTTAAGAGCACAGACTCTAATCTGTGAAATCCGGGTTTGATTCCCCACTCCTTCACATGCAGCTGCTAGTGTGACCGTGGGTCAGTCACAAGTTCTCTCAGAGCTGTTCTCTCAAAGGCAGTCCTTGAAAGAGCTCTCATCCCCTCCTACCTCACAGCTGGTTTCTGTCATGGGGAGAGGAAGGGAAAGGAAATTGTAAGATGCTCTGAGACTCCTTCGGGTAGTGAAAGGTGGGCTATAAATCCAATCTCCTTTTCTTCCTCCTCTTCTTCACCTTGCTGTCTTCCAGTGTTTACCTTGGTGGTGCGGGGAGAGAGTCTGAGCCTGGGCTCTGGTGTTTTCTCTCCTTCCCCCATCTTTTCATGGCCGTGCCTTCCTTTCTCCCCTGCAGGTCTGATCATTGACGCCTTTGGGGAGCTGAGAGACCAGCAGGAGCAGGTTAAGGAGGACATGGAGGTGAGCAGCCCAGGGAGACCGAAGCCCCTTGACTTGTCCGCAGGTCCCGGGGTTGCATTGCAGCCGCAAGGGCCGCTCTGTTTTCCCTGCACTTTCCAGCTCAGGCACCAGCAGCCGGCATGGGGGAGCGTTTGTTTATTATTTATTTTATTAGAATTGTATGTACCCATCCCTCCCCGCAAGCAAGCTCAGGGCGGGTTCCATCACTATTAATGCAATCCGCAGCAACAATGTAAACCAATTTAAAGCAACAGAATCAAAGCAGGACAAAAGCCATAAACTGCGGTGGCTCAAGTGGTTAAGACGCTGAACTGCAGGCTGTGGAAGGCTACTGTTATTGAACTGTTTGTTATTAGAGTACTGTTTGAAAAACTACGTGTTAAGTTTATTGCCCTACTCTTCATGTATAATTGTAATGGTTGCAAGATGTTTATTATATATTGGCATATTAAATAAATCGAGCGAGGGACACCTTTACCTTTACCTTTTTACCGTGCCAGACCTGATCAAAATGTCTCAGCGGTTAAGACAGGACAGTAGTGTGGATTCCCAGCAGTGTTCTCTCTAAGCTGAGTCAGTGTGAGCTGGCTCAGTTTTTTAGCCTCCGGCTCACCCATTTGTGTCTCAGCTCAGAAAGGGCGGCTCCAGGGCACACTAATTTATGCAGGAGCCCAATCGCTCGCTCACCACTTTAATGCCAGGAGCTCAGAAAGTAGGATTTTTGCTCACCAGACTCCACGGTTTAGAGGGAGCACTGGTTCCCAGGTGGCTGTTTGAATCTAGGACGCTGATGGGAGGCCAGCCGGGGGACGGGGACGGGACGTCCGCTGCCTCAACTAAAAGCCCACAGAAAATAGTCAGTGGCAACCGTGATATATTTTCGAAGGGTTATCCTATCAACTAAAAGCCCGGGCGGAAGAGCTCCGTCTTGCAGGCCCTGCGGAGTTGTAATAAGTCCCGCAGGGCCCTGATCTCATACGGGAGCTCGTTCCACCAGGTAGGGGCCACGGCCGAAAAGGCCCCGGCCCTAGTCGAGGCAAGTCGGATGTCACTGGGGCTAGGGGCTACCAAAAGGTGTTGATTTGTAGATCTCAGTGCTCTACGGGGCTCATATAGGGAGAGGCAGTCCCGAAGGTATGCCGGCCCCTGTCCCTATAGGTGTTGGACCTGAGAGATCTCTGAGTTTTCTTATTCTTCCTCATCGCATCCCCCCCACACGCTGGAAAGGATGTGGCTATCGGGGTACATACTACCATACGTGGTGGAATTGTCCCATTATTGCAAGTTTTTGGGATGCGATTTTAAGAGAGATTAAAATACTTACAACATGTAAGCTTCCCAAAGAATGACCTGATGGATGACAAGGTATCTGACTGCTTTTGCCCAGCGTAGCTCAGCAAAAAAACTCTAATAGCTCAATGGACAAATGGAAGATTCTGTTAGTCAAACAAAATAGGTTCGTGCTAAACAAGGCATGGGAACCCTTGGACAAATACCGTGTCCTTATCTATGTTTCACTAGCTACCAGATTATGAGGTTAGAAACGAAGGTCATTGTTTTTATTATAAGTGGACTGAGATCATTTTTAGGTTTGGTGCTAACCTGGGGTTTGGTACGGCTACTGTTATTGAACTGTTTGTTATCAGAGTACTGTTTGAAAAACTACAGGTTACGTTTATTGCCCTACTCTTCATGTATAATTGTAATGGTTGCAAGATGTTTATTATATAGTGGCATATTAAATAAATAAACTCGGGGGGGGGGGACAGAGAGATCTCTCAGCTGTGAATTTCAGCGGGTGACACTGGGCCAGTCATTCGCTCGGCCTAACCTACCTTGCAGGGTTGCTGGGAGTATAAGAGGGAAGTGGAGAGAACGACGTTCTGAGCTCCTTGGAGGGAAGGGTGGGTTAAAAATGTAGCAGATAGCCCTGACTTGGATCTCATCAGATCTTGGGCCGACCCTGGCAAGTATTTGGATGGGAGACCTCCAAAGAATACCAGGGCCAGGAGGCCAGAGGCAGGCTATATCAAGCCACTTCTCTGAATGTCCTCCATGCCCCAGTAGGAGTCGCCAGAGGTCGCCATGACTTCCACGCATGGGCGCACAAACACACACACACACACACAAATGCAAAAAAATGCAACAGATAGTTTTATAGCTCTGCAATACTTTCGTGAGCAACTACTGCAATTAGGGAGAATGTCTCTCATTCTCCAGACATCTCCCTGACCCTTTCTGTCTCCCAGCTGGGAGAGACTCACTGCTAGTTCAGGGCTGGAAGAGGGAGGTCAAATCTGCATTTGCATTTTGAAATCATTTTCGTGCTGCTGTGACTCCGTCCTTCTCTATGCTTCTTTGAACGTTGTTTGGAGAAGATTCTTTTAAAGCAGTGCAGAGGCGCAATGACAGTGGAGCCGCCACGGAAGGGCAATAAACATATGCAGGCGTGCAAAAGTATGCTAGCACTGTTGAGGTGTGAAAATCACCAAATGTAGACAGCTTTTTTAAAGACGGTGTCAGAAGGCTGGGACACCGGTGGGAAAAGACAAATGCAGATTCGACTGGAGAGGGACGGGTAGCCCACCATGGGCCCTAGAACAGGAGGCTCGGCCCCCGTCTTCAGACCCCTCGCCTCTTCTCATCGCTGCTTCTGTCTCCTGCAGACCAAATGTTTCATCTGCGGGATCGGCAGCGACTATTTCGACACGACGCCGCACGGCTTTGAGACCCACACGCTGGAGGAACACAACTTGGCAAATTACATGTAAGCATCCGGTTCGCGGCGACGTGGGGGCTGCCTCCTCGACCGTTGTGCCTTGCGGGGACCAGGGGTCATTTCCTGCAGGAGTGCACAGGAGCGGAGCTTCGGAAGTAAAGAGCCCAGGGGGCGGGCACATGCAACAAGCCCCACCCCCTGCTCCCAGCAGCCCTCAGTCAGAGCAAGAAGCAGCCAGGTAAGTTGCAGAGCCCCCCGTGGTCCCCTGGCCCAAAACAGTCCAGTGGCACCTTTAAGACCAAGTTTTATTCAGGTACAAGCTCTCCCTCCTCTGCGAGGACAGATCTGCACGTCCCCC